ATAATCTTGAGGTTAATGATGAGCTTGGGGAAAGTGATCACAAATCACTCAGTTTTAATATATCATGGAATTCCCCCTAATAATGGCAATCAAGTCTCCATCCCTGACTTTCGCTTGGCTGATTTCATAGGACTGAAAAATTACTTAGGTGGGCTGAACTGGAATGACCTGACTAAGGGTCAGGTAGGTGGTGATGGTTGCCAATATGACGCTTTCCAGGGCATAGTTCTAGCTGCTCAGTCAAATTATGTTCCAAATAGGGAAATCAGATCAAACAAAAATGATCCTAAATGGATGAACAATAGATTAAAATATCTGATTGGTCAAAAGAGAGGAATATATAGGCAAATCAAAAGAGGAGAGGGGCAATTAAGAAATCAATATATTCAGTTAAAGAGAGAAATGAAAAAGGGAATTAGAAAAGCAAAAAGAGATTATGAGGTTAAAGTTGGAAGAGAATCGAAGACTAACCCAAAAGAATTCTTTCAGGTATACAGAAGTAAGATCAGGGACAAGATAGGCCCACTCAAAAGTTCCTCGGGTCAGCTCACTGACAGTGATAAGGAAATGTGTAGAATTTTTAACACATACTTCCTCTCAGTTTTTACACAGGAGGATACCAGCGATATTCCAGAAATGATAAATTATGTAGAACAGGACGATAATAAACTGTGCACGATTAGGGTCACAAGTGACATGGTCCTTAGGCAAATAGATAAATTAAAACCTAACAAATCCCCAGGCCCTGATGAACTGTATGCAAGGGTTCTAAAGGAATGTAAAGAGGAGCTTAGCAAACCTTTAGCTAATCTTTTCAATATATCACTACAAACTGGCATGGTGCCAGATAAGTGGAAAATAGCAAATGTGATACCTATTTTCAAAGCAGGTGACAGGTCCTTAGCTTCGAACTATAGACCAATAAGCCTAACCTCCATAGTGGGAAAATTTATGGAGTCAATAAGTGCCGAGGCAGTTCGTAGCCACCTTGAAAAGCATAAATTAATCAACGAATCTCAGCATGGTTTTACAAAGGGGCGTTCCTGCCTTACGAATTTATTAACTTTTTTCACTAAGGTATTTGAGGAGGTAGATCATGGTAATGAATATGATATTGTGTATATGGACTTCAGTAAGGCTTTTGACAGGGTCCCACATCAGAGACTATTGAGGAAAATTAAGGCACATGGAATAGGAGGAGAAATTTTTTCCTGGATAGAGGCATGGTTGACAAATAGGCAGCAGAGAGTTTGCATAAATGGGGAGAAATCAGAGTGGGGAAGCGTCACGAGCGGTGTTCCACAGGGGTCAGTGTTGGGCCCCTGCTGTTCACAATCTACATAAACGACATAGATGAGGGCATAAAGAGCGACATCAGCAAGTTTGCCGATGACACCAAAATAGGCCGTCGAAGTCATTCTGACGAGGACATTAAAGCACTCCAGGAAGATTTGAATAGACTGATGCAGTGGTCGGAGAAGTGGCAGATGCAGTTTAATATAGACAAATGCAAAGTTCTAAATGTTGGACAGGACAATAACCATGCCACATATAAACTAAATAATGTAGATCTTAATATTACGTATTGCGAAAAAGATTTAGGAGTTCTGGTTAGCAGTAATCTGAAACCAAGACAACAGTGCATAAGTGTTCGCAATAAAGCTAATAGAATCCTTGGCTTCATATCAAGAAGCATAAATAATAGGAGTCCTCAGGTTGTTCTTCAACTCTATACATCCTTGGTTAGGCCTCATTTAGATTATGCTGCACAGTTTTGGTCACCGTATTACAGAATGGATATAAATGCTCTGGAAAATGTACAAAGGAGGATGACAAAGTTGATCCCATGTATCAGAAACCTTCCCTATGAGGATAGACTAAGGGCCCTGAATCTTCACTCTCTAGAAAGACGTAGAATTAGGGGGGATATGATTGAGGTGTATAAATGGAAGACAGGAATAAATAAAGGGGATGTAAATAGTGTGCTGAAAATATCTAGCCTAGACAGGACTCGCAGCAATGGTTTTAAGTTGGAAAAATTCAGATTCAGGAAGGATATAGGAAAGTACTGGTTTGGTAATAGAGTTGTGGATGAGTGGAACTAACTCCCAAGTACAGTTATAGAGGCCATAACCTTGTGTAGCTTTAAAAATAGGTTGGATAAATACATGAGTGGATGTGGGTGGGTGTGAGTTGGACCTGATAGCTTGTGCTACCAGGTCAGTTGCCGTGTTCCTCCCTTAAGTCAATGTGACCTGACCTGACTAGGTTGGGTGCATTGGCTTAAGCCGGTAGGAGACTTGAACCTGCCTCGCATGGACCAGTAGGCCTGCTGCAGTGTTCCTTCGTTCTTATGTTCTTATGTTTTTGGAATAAAACAGCGACTTTGCACTGTATTTTCGTATGGTATTTATTGTTGTATTCTAGTTTTCTTGGTCTCATTTTATAGAATGGAAAACATATTACAGAAATTGAGATGATTTTGACTGGTTTTACAATGAAAAGTACCTTGAAATTGAGCTCAAAGTAGCAGAAATGTTCAATTTTTACCAAAGTTCAAAAGTAAACAAATCAGGCCAATCTAATATTCTTTCACAAGTGCACTGATATTATTTATACCATTTCTACACTAATGCAGCAGTCTGCATAACAGTAAATCTTCTATTTTTTGTAAGAATAAAAATTGAAAGTGGAAAGCCAAAGAAATATAAGAGAGGCCTGGGGATGTGACTAACGAACAGAGGAAATGTTATTTTAGTGCAGGAATGTCTTTCTTGCTTATTCTGGACCCTATTTGGAAATTGGCATATTTTGAAATTTGTGTGAAATTGGCAAAATTGCTAAATTCTGACCACTGTATTGGATAGTTGAAGTCAGTAAATGGGTGGTTTCTTGTACTCATTCAATAGAAAAATGGAGTTCTAGAGAAATAGTTATGATTTTTGTCGACTAGTACTCTGGAATTGGCCGAAAATAGGGCTCAAAGTGGGCAAAATTGCCAATGTGTAAACATCGTCGAGACTGCTGACTTTGAGAGAGCATAATTCTGTAAGTTTTCCATCAAATTTCATACTTTTGGTGTCATTATGATTGGGAAAAGATTCTCTATCTTTTCACAAGAAAAAATAATTTTTTTTTTTAAATTTGGCCGACCCTGAGAACAAGTCTTGGAGAGGGCTTGTCGACCCTCAAAGGGTTAAAATAGAGAACAAGATAATACAAAGTCCTTTTTACACATGAATATACAGACAGAACGATGTTTATTCCTTCTTAGTGTACACCACTGTATATACATCGAATGTATTCTTTAGTATTTTTCAGGGATCAGAGTAATCCTGACTAGAAGTGATCAGGTTACATGCAGCCTTAATTAATGACCCACATGTACTCAATTCGCTTTAAAAACAATTAAAGGTATTTTGGTCACTATGCGATCCAGGAAAAGTATCCCACAATACATAACTCCAGTCCCCTGTACTTTAATGATTGCTGTTGGAATAGTGCAGTGTGGGGCATACATTTACAATGTAGTTAAATATTAACATTGAAAATTCAAAGCAAATCATAGAGGCATTCACAAGTTATGATATGGAAACTAATATTTCAATTTCTACAATAAAAATGGCAAATCAGGGAAAATCACTGAACCAGTAGGGGTTATTTAGCACCTGTAGAATATGAAGCATTCAGATTCTATGAAAGGAAAAGGAAGATAAGTCCAGTTTCTTGGATTAAGAATCACCCACCAGAAATTAGGCAAAATAATGCAATAAAATACTACTGGACTATTTTGATATTGTGGAAACATTTCACCACAGTGGCTTTATCAGACTAATATGAAGAATAGTGAATATCAGAAGGAGATTGAGGTAATCAGTCCCTCAGCCTGGAGTTGATGTAATCAGTCCATCAGTCAAGATTGGTATTGAAAATGGAAATAGACTATTATCAATATCTCCTCCCTCCCTGAAAGTTTAGCTTCTTTCTGACTAGCTTGGTTACCATACCAGTGTGACTTACAAGAATGACACAGTGCCTCACATTGCTTCCAGTATTCCCATATTAGTATGCATATACTGAAGGTCAGTTATTAAAAGTCTTTTGGAAACCAGGACCCTGTCTTTGTGAATGTTTCTCTTTTGGCTGACAATCTTTTACTGAAACAGGACACATTCCTGTAATCCATTACAGATTGTTTTGTCGTGCAGTAATTGAAGATAGGAGCATTTCTTTCATGTCATCAAGTATTCCTTTTCTGAAATACACGACCATCATTATCTAACTGCTGGCATCAGTTTTTACTATTTTGGATCAATTTATCTTGGACTTCCTTTCGTAAACAGCTTTATTTCATCAGAAAGATAAAATTTACCAACAAATACTCACGCTGTGATGGTCATTCAATGCCATCGCCAAGGGTATTCATACACAAAAAACCTTAATGTACTATGGTGTACGTAAAATGTACCAGGAGTCCTATGTATCGCTGTGGTTCCTTACAATTTGGACAATGTTGTGCTATATTCAACTGACATTTGTACATCTTCCTAACTGAAAATGACTGCTCGTTTCTTTTCTCAGACTGCAGTTTCCACTTACCCAATCGTTGGTCTGGTGCACAGAACTGTGTTTGGACAGTCAATCTAACTTCAATTTTTTTTGGGTGAATGACTGCATAACAAATAATATTTTCTTTCTTTCAGTCATCACTGAGATGGATGAATTATGCTCCTGAAACTCAGTTACTAAATCATAAAATCTAAGAAAATAAAAAACCCTTGATTTGACATTTCTGGATTAATGAGTTTTAACTAGTAAAGGAAAAAAAAAATCTAAACTTATCGTGGCACTAATACATCAAAGAAAGTGGTTTGTAGGAGTAATTTTTACATGAATATGTACGACACAATATGCAGCTTGTTGTACCAATCATTAATGTATTTTTGCACATAAAATTTTCTACAAAAATGTTAGGTTTTTAACTCTATGTATATTTCTAGGTATGAAAAGGCTATTACAGCAATGGCTAAGCAGAAAGTCACACTAGAAGTTCTTAGCTATCATGCGACTGCTCCCAGAGAAGATGCTCTCAGGCTAATGGTAAGTAGACATGAAGCTGTGTCGTGGGTTCTTAAATGTTTAAGAAAAGGTTTATTTTTTCTTTATTTCTATCTTCCACTCTTTCTTTCCTATTGTTTTCCATTCTCCTCACTGGGAGATGGAAAACACTAGCTTTAGGCCCTTCACACTTCTCTGCTTCATCAGGAATTATGCAAAGTTTAAGAGATGCAACAGGCAAATTGAGAGGAAAAATTCCTTCAGAGATATGAATATGCATCTGGCATGGGGCCAATCATATGAGTGAGGCTCAAGGCTATGACACAAACACACTGCTTCTGTATCTGCCCAAGTGGGATATGGGATACCTTCCGAGGTTTATGGAAAAGTGAAGAAAATGATTTAATAAACAACCCAAACCCCACATCAGATCAATATCAATTAGTCTAGGGCAACTACGAAAGCCTCTTTATTACATAGGTGTTTTGCCATTAACTTAGTTTTGTTTGGAAGTTTGTAGTAATATATATAACATATATTAATCATTATAGGTAGTAGGTTGGTAGACAGCAACTGCCCAGGGAGGTACTACCGTCCTGCCAAGTGAGTGTAAAACGAAAGCTTGTAATTGTTTTACATGATGGTAGGATTGCTGGTGTCAATTTTTCTGCCTCATAAACATGCAAGGATTCAGGTATGTCTTGCTACTTCTACTTACACTTAGGTCACACTACACATACATGTACAAGCATATATATACACACCCCTCTGGGTTTTCTTCTATTTTCTTACTAGTTCTTGTTCTTGTTTATTTCCTCTTACCTCCATGGGGAAGTGGAATAGAATTCTTCCTCTGTAAGCCATGCGTGTTGTAAGAGGCGACTAAAATGCCAGGAGCAAGGGTCTAGTAACCCCTTCTCCTGTATATATTACTAAATGTAAAAGAAGAAGCTTTTGTTTTTCCTTTTGGGCCACCCCGCCTCGGTGGGATACAGCCGGTGTGTTGGAAGATATATATATTGTAGGTAGTAGGTTGGTAGACAGCAACTGCCCAGGGAGGTACTACCGTCCTGCCAAGCGAGTGCAAAATGGAAACCTGTAATTGTTTTACATGATGGTAGGATTGCTGGTGTCTTTTTTCTGTCTCATAAACATGCAAGATTTCAGGTATGTCTTGCTACTTCTACTTACACTTAGATCACACTACACATACATGCACAAGCATATATATACACACCCCTCTGGGTTTTCTGCTATTTTCTTTCTAGTTCTTGTTCTTGTTTTTTCCTCTTATCTCCATGGGGAAGTGGAACAGAATTCTTCCTCCATATGCCATGCGTGTTGTAAGAGGCGACTAAAATGCCAGGAGCAAGGGGCTAGTAACCCCTTCTCCTATATATATTGCTAAATGTAAAAGGAGAAGCTTTTGTTTTTACTTTTGGGCCACCCCACCTCGGTGGGATACAGCCGGTGTGTTGAGAGAAAGAAAGAAACATGCAAGATTTCAGGTATGTCTTGCTACTTCTACTTACACTTAGGTCACACTACACATAGTGTGACCTGGGTTTTCTTCTTCTTGAAGTTCCTGAACCTGTACTCCCTGGAACGCAGGCGGGAGAGATATATGATTATATACACCTGGAAAATCCTAGAGGGACTAGTACTGAACTTGCACACGAAAATCACTCACAACGAAAGCAAAAGACTCAGCAGATGATGTAACATCCCCACAATGAAAAGCAGGGGTGTCACTAGCACTTTAAGAGACAATACAATAAGTGTCAGGGGCCTGAGACTGTTCAACTGCCTCCCAGCATACATAAGGGGGATTACCAATAGACCCCTGGCTGTCTTCAAGCAGGCACTAAACAAGCACCTAAAGTCGGTACCTGACCAGCTGGGCTGTGGCTTGTATGGTGGATTGCATGCAGCCAGCAGTAACAGCCTGGTTGATCAGGCTCTGATCCACCAGGAGGCCTGGTCACAGGCCAGGCCGTGGGGACGTTGACCCCCGGAACTTTCTCCAGGTAAACTTCAGGTCTTATTTCCATGGGGAAGTGGAACAAAATTCTTCCTCTGTAAGCCATGCGTGTTGTAAGAGGCGACTAAAATGCCGGGAGCAAGGGGTTAGTAACCCCTTCTCCTGTATAAATTACTAAATTTAAAAAAAGAAACTTTCGTTTTTCTTTTTGGGCCACCCTGCCTCGGTGGGATATGATTTATATTTATATTATTTTCTCAAGATAAGTCGTAATGAATGACTGTTAGTGAGTAAACAGATGAATGGACAGGGACTCAATCCATTGTTCTCATTGCATGAAAATTCCAAGAGGTCAGCTTTTGATATTCTCAAACCACCCCGACACTGTGCACCATGTACGTAAGGTACATATTGGAGTATGTATGTAGCACCAGTATGGAGCCCACACCTGGTAAAGCATATCAACAAATTAAAGTGCAAAGGTTCGCATTGAAAGTAGTCCTAGAGCTATGGTGTATGTCCTGTGAGGAGAGGTTAAGGGAACTGAGCCTGATAGCACTGGGGGACAGGGGGACTAGGGGATATGATAACAGTATACAAAATACTGAGAGGAATTGACAAGGTGTACAGGGACACAGTGTTTGAAAAATGGGAAACAGGAACATGAGAGCACAGCCGGAAGTTGAAGACTCAGATGAGCCACAGGGATGTTAGGAAGTATTTCTTCAGTCTTGAGTTGTCAGGAAGTATAACAAACTGGAGTTAAATGGTAGAGGCTAGATCCATACATAGCTTAAAGAAGAAGTATAATAAGGCTCTTGAAGAAAGGTGTGAACCTAATAATGACCAGCAAGGAGGCAGAGCCAGTGGGTGTAACTTGACCCTTGCAATCTCGTACATATGAGTACAGGTAGGCGAGTACACACTATCGACAAGTGCCTTATACAACTAGTAGCTAGCACAACAGGTCAAATAATGTGTAATAACATTATCATCTCAGAAGTTATTTAACATTCAACCTTCTGTGTTATTTAATAACCAATGGGCAATAAGCATTCCCTTATATATTGAACATAGTCATTATAATTTTAAGTTTTAAAAATATAGGAAAAAGTATCGGTCAAAAATTGGGTATCACTATTGGCAAAAATTTTGGTATCGTCCATACACAGGTACTGTTTACCTGGAGTTTATCTGGAGAGAGTTCCGGGGGTCAACGCCCCCACGGCCCAGTCTGTGACCAGGCCTCCTGGTAGATCAGAGCCTGATCAACCAGGCTGTTACTGCTGGCTGCACGCAAACCAACGTATGAGCCCCAGCCTGGCTGGTCAGGTACCGACTTTAGGTGCTTGTCCAGTGCCAGCTTGAAGACTGCCAGGGGTCTGTTGGTAATCCCCCTTATGTATGCTGGGAGGCAGTTGAACAGTTTTGGGCCCCTGACACTTATTGTATGGTCTCTTAACGTGCTAGTGGCACCCCTGCTTTTCATTGGGGGGATGTTGCATCGTCTGCCAAGTCTTTTGCTTTTGTAGTGAGTGATTTTCGTGTGCAAGTTCGGTACTAGCCCCTCTAGGATTTTCCAGGTGTATATAATCATGTATCTCTCCTGCTTGCGTTCCAGGGAATACAGGTTCAGGAACCTCAAGCGCTCCCAGTAATTGAGGTGTTTTATCTCCATTATGCGCGCCGTGAAGGTTCTCTGTACATTTTCTAGGTCAGCAATTTCACCTGCCTTGAAAGGTGCTGTTAGTGTGCAGCAATATTCCAGCCTAGATAGAACAAGTGACCTGAAGAGTGTCATCATGGGCTTGGCATCCCTAGTTTTGAAGGTTCTCATTATCCACCCTGTCATTTTTCTAGCAGATGCGATTGATACAATGTTATGGTCCTTGAAGGTGAGATCCTCCGACATGATCACTCCCAGGTCTTTGATGTTGGTGTTTCACTCTATTTTGTAGCCAGAATTTGTTTTGTACTCTGATGAAGATTTAATTTCCTCGTGTTTACCATATCTGAGTAATTGAAATTTCTCATCGTTGAACTTCATATTGTTTTCTGCAGCCCACTGAAAGATTTGGTTGATGTCTGCCTGGAGCCTTGCAGTGTCTGCAATGGAAGACACTGTCATGCAGATTCAGGTGTCATCTGCAAAAGAAGACATGGTGCTGTGGCTGACATCCTTGTCTATGTCAGATATGAGGATGAGGAACAAGATGGGAGCGAGTACTGTGCCTTGTGGAACAGAGCTTTTCACCGTAGCTGCCTCGGACTTTACTCTGTTGACTACTACTCTCTGTGTTCTGTTAGTGAGGAAATTATAGATCCATCGACAAACTTTTCCTGTTATTCCTTTAGCACGCATTTTGTGCGCTATTACGCCATGGTCACACTTGTCGAAGGTTTTTGCAAAGTCTGTATATATTACATCTGCATTCTTTTTGTCTTCTAGTGCATCTAGGACCTTGTTGTAGTGATCCAATAGTTGAGACAGACATGAGCGACCTGTTCTAAATCCATGTTGCCCTGGGTTATGTAATTGATGGGTTTCTAGATGGGTGGTGATCTTGCTTCTTAGGACCTTTTCAAAGATTTTTATGATATGGGATGCTAGTGCTATCAGTCTGTAGTTCTTTGCTATTGCTTTACTGCCGCCTTTGTGGAGTGGGGCTATGTCTGTTGTTTTTAGTAACTGTGGGACGACCCCCGTGTCCATGCTCCCTCTCCATAGGATAGTAAAAGCTCGTGATAGGGGCTTCTTGCAGTTCTTGATGAACACGGAGTTCCATGAGTCTGGCCCTGGGGCAGAGTGCATGGGCATGTCATTTATCGCCTGTTCGAAGTCATTTGGCGTCAGGATAACATCAGCTAGGCTTGTGTTAACCAAATATTGTGGCTCTCTCATAAAAAATTCATTTTCATCTTCGACTCTCAGTCTGGTTAGCGGCTTACTAAAAACCGAGTCATATTGGGACTTGAGTAGCTCACTCATTTCCTTGCTGTCATCTGTGTAGGACCCATCTTGTTTAAGTAGGGGCCCTATACTGGACGTTGTTCTCGACTTTGATTTGGCATAGGAGAAGAAATACTTTGGGTTTCTTTCGATTTCTTTTATGGCTTTTAGTTCTTCCCGCGATTCCTGACTCCTATAAGATTCCTTTAGCTTAAGTTGATATTAAAGAAGAAAAACTTAAAACACTGCACTCATTTCTTTTTTCTTTTTATTTCAACAGAAATTGAAAATCCCTTCAGCACAAGCTTTTAAGCTGTATGACTTCAAGTTTGATGACTTCAGCCTTGATGATGATGGAAGCCTGAAGGTAAGACTTTCAAGAAATAGTTATAATAATAACCATTAATTTTTAAAGGGGTGGTCTGGTAAGCCAGCAGAAGGCCTCGGTGAGATGACCAGAAGCTCCAACAGCAGGTCATCATATGACTATGACCTGCATCAGGAAACACTTGTCCTGTTTCCTGATAAACCTTACCTAACCATAAGACTTTCCTCTCTTTTACAGTATTTGAGATGCCTAGCTTGTTAATTTATACATTTGCTCGCCTCTGTCTCCCAGATTGTTTGTTTTTGTGTCTGTTACTGCAACAGGTGGAAATGGTGGGCATGTTTCATAAGAACATAAGAACATAAGAAAGGAGGAACACTGCAGCAGGCCTGTTGGCCCATACTAGGCAGGTCCTTTACAATTCATCCCACTAACAAACATTTGACCAACCCAATTTTCAATGCCACCCAAGAAACAAGCTCCGATGTGCAAGTCCCACTCAAATCCAACCCCTCCCACTCATGTACTTATCCAACCTAAATTTGAAACTATTCAAAGTCCTAGCCTCAATAACCCAACTAGGTAGACTGTTCCACTCATCAACTACCCTATTTCCAAACCAATACTTTCCTATGTCCTTTCTAAATCTAAACTTATCTAATTTAAATCCATTACTGTGGGTTCTCTCTTGGAGAGATATCCTCAAGACCTTGTTAATATCCCCTTTATTAATACCTATCTTCCACTTATACACTTCGATCAGGTCTCCCCTCATTCTTCGTTTAACAAGTGAATGTAACTTAAGAGTCTTCAATCTTTCTTCATAAGGAAGATTTCTAATGCTATGTATTAATTTAGTCATCCTACGCTGAATGTTTTCTAACGAATTTATGTCCATTCTGAAATATGGAGACCAGAATTGAGCTACATAATCTAGGTGAGGCCTTACTAATGATGTATAAAGCTGCAGTATCACCTCTGAACTTCTGTTGCTTACACTTCTTGATATAAATCCCAGTAATCTATTTGCCTTATTACGTATGCTTAGGCATTGCTGTCTTGGTTTAAGGTTGCTGCTTACCATAACCCCCAAGTCCTTTTCGCAATCTGTATGGCTCAGTTCTACGTTATTTAACTTATAAGTGCTAGGGTTATGGACACACCCGAGCTTCAGAACCTTGCATTTATCTACATTGAACTGCATCTGCCACTTTTCTGACCAAGAGTAGAGTTTGTCTAAATCCTCCTGAAGTTCCCTAACATCTACATTTGAATCAATTATCCTACCTATCTTCGTGTCATCGGCGAATTTGCTCATATCACTAGTAATTCCTTCATCAAGATCATTGACATATATTATAAACAACAACGGGCCCAAGACTGATCCCTGTGGAACACCACTTGTTACTGATCCCCTCTCGGATTTAACCCCATTTATGGACACTCTCTGCTTCCTGTCTGTGAGCCATGATTCGATCCACGAGAGCACTCTTCCCCCAATGCCATGAGCTGCTACTTTCTTCAACAGTCTTTGGTGCGGAACTCTATCAAATGCCTTACTAAAATCTAAGTAAATAATATCAAATTCTTTATCGTGGTCAACAGCCTCAAAAGCTTTACTGAAGAAGGTTAATAAATTAGTTAGATAAGACCGGCCTCTTGTGAATCCATGCTGAGTATCATTAATCAAGCTATGCTTATCGAGATGGCTTCTTATAATTTGAGCTATAATTGACTCTAGTAATTTGCCTACAATTGAGGTCAGGCTTATTGGGTGGTAATTTGATGGTAACGACTTGTCCCCTGTTTTAAAAATAGGAATTACATTAGCCATCTTCCACATATCAGACACTACACCTGTTTGAAGAGATAAATTAAAAATATTAGTTAATGGTTCACAGACTTCCATTTTGCATTCCTTCAGAACCCTTGAAAAAACCTCATCAGGACCCGGTGACTTATTTTGCTTCAGTTGGTCTATCTGCTTCACAACCATTTCACTAGTGACTGTGATGTTACATAATTTATCTTCTTCTGGCCCACTATAAAAATTAATTACCGGAATATTATTAGTGTCTTCCTGTGTAAAAACCGAGAGAAAATAATTATTTAAAATCGAACACATTTCATTCTCTTGGTCAGTAAGATGCCCATAGTTATTTTTAAGGGGACCTATCTTATCTCTGACTTTTGTTCTATATACCTGGAAAAAACTTTTTGGGTTAGTTTTAGAATCCCTAGCAACTTTAATTTCATAGTCCCTTTTAGCTTTTCTTATCCCCTTTTTAATGTCCCTCTTTATGTCAATATACTGATTCATAAGATGACCCTCGCCTCTTTTGATACGCCTATAAATTCCTTTCTTATGCCGTAGTAGATATTTCAGCCTATTATTCATCCATTTTGGGTCATTTCTATTTGATCTAATTTCTTTATAAGGGATAAACGTTCTTTGAGCAGCATGTATTGTGTTCAGAAAACTGTCGTATTGATAGCTCTCTTCGTTACCCCAGTCAACAGATGATAAGTGTTCTCTAAGCCCATCGTAATCTGCTAAGCGAAAATCTGGGACTGTTACTGAGTTATCCCTACTGTCATACTTCCATTCAATTCTAAATGTAATTGATTTGTGGTCGCTAGCACCCAGTTCCTCTGAAACTTCTAAATTATTAACATGGGATTCATTGTTTGCAAGAACTAAGTCAAGCAGGTTATTACCCCTTGTAGGTTCTGTCACAAACTGCTTCAAAAAACAATCCTGAACTACTTCTAAGAAGTCGTATGATTCTAAATTCCCAGTCAAGAAATTCCAATCAATATGACTAAAGTTAAAGTCTCCTAGAATTACTACATTATCGTGCCTTGTGGCCCTAACAATTTCCTCCCATAGTAGTCTCCCCTGGTCCCTATCTAAATTTGGGGGACGGTATATCACACCTAAAGTTAATTTTTCATGCCCCTCTGAAAATTCTATCCAGACTCTGTATGTGTTACTTCAGACTTAATACCCGTTTTTATGCAACAGTTCAAGCGATCTCGGACATACAATGCCACCCCATCCCCCTTCCCGATACTTCTATCTACTTGGAACAATTTAAAACCCTGAATGTGACATTCTGCAGGCATGTCCCGACTTTTTGAATTAAACCACGTCTCAGTAATGGCAAATACATCTATGTTACCTGCACTAGCAACTAGTCTCAACTCGTCCATCTTATTCCTACCACTGCGACTATTTGTGTAATAAATACTTAAAGACCCTCCTCTCTCTTTACCCTTCCTGCTCCTTTCTGTTATTCCACTAAACCTATTACTGTCCTTGTCAATTAGTGCCACTGGCTTTCCAATATCCACCTCATTTTGCCTATTACTAGTTCTCCTAGTACTCATATTACTACCCTGAGACTTCACAGTTTTCCCGCAAAAACCCATACCACTAACTATTCCTAGTTTAAAGACCTAACAGCTCCCTCAACTGCGTTGGCCAGTGCTCCCACCCCACACCTAGATAAGTGAACCCCATCCCTGGCATCTGTTGCCCTTGTTCACCTAGCAGTAAATAGATACTTAGGTTTTAGCTAATCTAACGAGGCTCCAACCCATCCTCCTTGGTTTAATATAACCAACCATCAAAGTAGGCTAGAGAGAGAGAAAGAAATATAAAGAAAAAGAAAGAGAAAGAAAAAAACAAAGAAAAAATAGAGAAAAAAGGAAAGAAAGAACATAGAGAGGGAGGGAGGGGAAGGTAATTATTCTCTTGGGTCAGGAGTCAGTCAGTCATGTTTGTCTCACTACCTACTAGTGCTTCATTTTACAGAAAACTGTAATTTGAACTTAGCAAGTCTCCCGCCACTCTTGCGCTACAATTTTAAGCCTAGTGTTTGGCATAATTTATAACCACAAATGCAAGTTTGCATTTGTGGTCACAGTGGCACCTTTGTTAACCTTCCAATGGTGTATAAATATACCTAGTTGGACGAATCATTTTGTAGCCAGCTGGCCCAGTGGCTAGCACATCAGTCTGGAGTTTTACGACAATAACTGCAAATTCAAGCCCCGCCTGTGGTATGGTTTATATTTACATAATATAAGTAAATGATCTATAATTCTATACATACTCCAATGAGTTTATATATGCTCATAACAGATAACTGCTTGTGTGTTGTATCTTGGAAAAAAAATAGAGGGTTGAAAAAGGATTCCTTAGATAAGAATGAGCTGAAGTAGGGCAACAGCACTTGTCTTTTTAATTTGTTTTAAAAACTGACATTAAACCAGACTAGTTAAAGAGCAGTAAAAGGTACATCTTTGATTAACCCTTTCAGGGTCCAGACCCAAAATCTGAGAAGTGTCCACAGGGTCCAAGAATTTAAAAAAAAAAAAAATTGTTGTTTTTTCTTTTGAAATGGTAGAGAATCTTTTTCTGAAGGTAATAAAACAAGAAGTATGAAATTTGATGGAAAATTGACGAAATTATGCTCTCATGAATTTTTAATGCATCAGCAATATTTAGGCATCGGCGATTTTGCAGACTTTGACTCCCATTTTAGGCCAATTACATTATTTCAGCCGACCAAATTCTTAGCCATTTTGCTAGTATTACTTCTATTTTATCGACTGAGCACAAGAAATCGCCAAGTCAACTAGTGTTTCAACTACCCAATAAAGTGATTGGAAATTGGTAATTTGGCCAATTTATCACAAAGTTTGAAATATTCCTATTTCAAAATAGGGTCCAGAATAAACAATGCAGGCATTCCTGACACTAAACTAACATTTCCTCTGTTCGTTAGTTATGTTTTCAGGCTTTACAAATGAATTCCATTTTGATTTTGTATTAACATGATGAATTTTTTTCAAATAAAAAAATGGAAGATTTACTGTTATGAAATATTGTAATAATTGTATAAATAATATCAGTGCATTTGTGAATGCACATAAGACCTATCAGCTTACATATATTGGATGAGTGATGTGATTTGTTTACTCTTGAACATTGCCAAAAATTGAACATTTCTGCTACTTTGTGCTCAGTTTCAAGCCATTTTCAGTACTAAAACCAATCAAAATCATCTCTACTTCTGTAATATATCTTCCATTCTATCAAATAAGACCAAGAAATTGCAAATACAACTATAAAAAACATACGAAAAACACCGCAATGTCACTGTTATAATCCAAAATTACAGTCTCAGTTTTTTTCTCTCATTATGCAGTGTGTGCTGAAGGATTTGTTTTATGTGGTGCTCACTTACCACATAGATGTATTCTCTTATATCTAGGCCCAAATTTACCGCTCACAGCTTATCTGAGTGAGGTGAGCTCATGGTATAGAACTACAGTTTGGACCCAGAACTCAAAGCCACAGAACTACAGCACGGACCCTTAAAGGGTTAAAGTACTAGTATATAGTAGTCTCCAAATCTCCTGAACATTTATGTGCAATAGACAAATATGACATGCATAATAAAAAAAAAATTTCTTGATCTGAAGATGTACAGGATCATGCAAGAAAATTGGAAATAAAGTGGAGGCTGATCAAGATAAGAAAAATGATGACTCATATCCTAAAATCCTGAACTAATAACACATATAAAGATCATGAAGACAGAGGAGCAAATCATATTGGACAGAAAAATAAAATGCATTAACACTTAAGAAAGACCCTTAACCCTTTCAGGGTCGGCAGACTCTCTCCTAAACTTGTTCTCAGGGTTGGAAATTCTTCAAAAAAAAAATATTTTTTCTTATGAAATGATAGAGAATCTTTTCCTGATCATAATAACACCAAAAGCATGAAATTTGATGGAAGACCTACGGAATTATGCTCTCGCGAAGTTAGCGGTCTCGACGATGTTTTCGGCCAATTCCAATGTACCAGTCGACAAAAATCATAACTATTTCACTAGAACTCCATTTTTTCTATTGAATGAGTACAAGAAACCACCCATTTACCGATTGCAACTATCCAATAAAGTGGTCCAAAATTTGCAATTTTGCCAATTTCACACAAATTTCAAAAGATGCCAATTTCCAAATAGGGTCCAGAATAAACAAGACAGACATTCCTGGCACTGAAATAACATTTCCTCTGTTCATTAGTCATGTCCCCAGGTCTCTGTTACATTTCTTTTGTTTTTCACTTTGAATTTTTATGCTCACAAAAAATAGAAGATTTACTATTATGCAGACTACTGCATTAATGTAGAAATGGTGTAGAAATAGTATAAATAATGTCAGCACATTTATGAAAGAATATTAGACTCACCAGCTGACGTATTGGGCGCTTGGCATGATTTGTTTACTTTTGAACTTTGGGAAAAATCGAACATTTCTGCTACTTTGAGCTCAATTTCAAGGTACTTTTCATTGTAAAACCAATAAAAATCATCTCAATTTCCATAATATGTCTTCCATTCTATAATATGAGACCAGGAAAACTAGAATACAACCATAAATACCATACGAAAATACACTGCAAAGTCACTGTTTTAAACCAAAAACACGGTCGGAGTTTTTTTTTCTCATTATGCACTGTGTGCTGCAGGATTTTTTTTTATACTGTGCACACTGACCACATACACCCATTCTTTCAAATGTAGGACCACCACCTTTCTCTCGCTAGATTTGAAGGCACTAGAATTTATGCGTCCTAGTACGGCACCAACCCTGGCGTGCAAGCCATACTAGTATGGCACCAACCCTGAAAGAGTTGAATTGACAGATAAGTAAATATTATGAAAACACTGAATATCATGGAGACATTAAACAGGTTATACAGAAACATGATACATATGCAGACACCCGGTGGTCTGGTGGCTAAAGCTCCCGCTTCACACACGGAGGGCCCGGGTTCGATTCCCGGCGGGTGGAAACATTTGACACGTTTCCTTACACCTGTTGTCCTGTTCACCTAGCAGCAAATAGGTACCTGGGTGTTAGTCGACTGGTGTGGGTCGCATCCTGGGGGACAAGATTAAGGACCCCAATGGAAATAAGTTAGACAGTCCTCGATGACGCACTGACTTTCTTGGGTTATCCTGGGTGGCTAACCCTCCGGGGTTAAAAATCCGAACGAAATCTTATCTCTTATCTTATCTTATCTTAAACGATGTTCCACTCAGGATTAAGATTAGTCCTCAGTGAAACATGTAAAATAAAGGTGAGCTCTGCCTGACTTCTTGTTGTGTCACTAGTCACCAGTAACATAAAAGATGAGCAAAGAATATTTTCATCCTCCTACTAAGACACACTCTTCAGAAGTCTGATAAAGAGGGTCTCAGTTTATGGGTCAGACAATACAGTGACAATATTATCTTCTGCTGTAATGTCTCTCGATTGCTTTGTTTGTGTTACTGTTAAGAGTTTAATACTCTTTCGTCATTTCTTTTTTTCAGGCTTGTTTGAGAATGTTTCTGGACCTGGATTTGATTGGAAGGTTTCACATAGAGTATGAGGTTCTGTGCCGGTGGTTGCTAAGTGTCAAGAAGAACTATCGTAACGTAACCTACCACAACTGGCGGCATGCTTTCAATGTTGCCCAAATGATGTTTGCAATCATCACGGTAAGGACATTATTTTAAATGTCAGTTATCATTTTCTTATTAGAACCACTAAACTAGTAATGGTCATATAGTGTTTGGATATGACTAATTTTGATCCAAGGAAAGGGAGTAAGGCTTAAATTGTGCAATAAACAAAGATCAATGAAACACACATTGAAAGAAAAGATTAAGAAAAGTTCTTGGGTACTCTCCTTGAAATTTAATATAAATTTAGCAAGGACATCTGGTATAAATCTAAGAAAATTGCTAAAATAATGAACATTCTTTACAGATTATATATATACAGTGGTCCCTCGTTGTTCGTAATTAATCCGTTCCTGGAGCCGTTACTATAAACGAAATTTACGATTTACGAATCAATTTTCCCCATAAGAAATAATGTAAATACAATTAATCCGTTCCTGACACCCAGAAGTATTAAAACAAAAAAAATTTTAACATGAAATATACATGTAGTACATAAACAATACAATGGGAAATGATGAATGAAACATTAACAGCATAACACTTACCTTTATTGGAGATTCTTCTTAGTGTATGGGAGACTGGAGGAGGAGAGAGAGTGGATTGTTTATAGTTTGGAAGGGGAATCGCCTTCCATCAACACCTCAGGTACCATTTGCTTTTCTGGGGTTGCTTCTCTTCTCTGTTTCTTAATGCCACTAGGACCAGCTTGAGAGTCACTGGAGTCCTGTCTCACAAAATAACTGTGGAGAGAGCTCTGTTTCTGGCATCTCTTTAACATTTCCCTAAAATGGCCCAAGGCTTTGTCACTGTACATGTTGCCAACCTGGCTTGCAACAACCTTGTTAGGGTGATGTTTCTCCATAAAGCTTTCCATCTTACCCCACATAGTAAAAATCTCTTTAATTTCTGAAGAAGGCACCTTCTTCCATCTCTCTTCCTCCTCCTCTGCAGCAAGATTCTGAGCTGCGATGTGTTGCTCTTCCTGCTGAAACTCTTGCATCTCCTCAGTGGTGAGCTCTTCATTGTGGTCTTCCACCAATTCTTCCACATCCTCCAAACTCACATCCAACCCCATGGAACTCCCCAGTGCCACAATTGATTTTACAACAGACATAGGCTCATTAGGGTCAGTCCCAAATCCTTCAAAATCCCTCTTGTCGACACAATCTGGCCACAATTTTCTCCAGGCAGAGTTCAAAGTTCTGGTAGTCACTCCCTCCCAAGCCATACCTATAAGGGTTATGCAGTGGAGGATGCTGAAGTGTTCTCTCCAAAATTCCCTTAGGGTCAAGTGAGTGTCTGTGGTCACAGTCAAGCACCTGTGAAACATTGCTTTTGTGTAGAGTTTTTTAAAGTTTGCAATAACTTGCTGGTCCATGGGTTGGAGGAGAGGAGTGGTATTCGGGGGCAAGAACTTTACTGTGATGAACCCAAACTCCTCGAAAATTAGGTCATCCAAGTTTGGAGGATGAGCAGGTGCATTGTCCATTACTAGCACGCACTTGAGATACAATTTCTTTTCCAGGAGATACTCCTTCACACTAGGGCCAAACACTGCATTGAACCACTCGACGAAAATTTCCCTCGTGACAATTTACTCTTCATAACATTGTTTTTCCTGAGCACTCTGGGATTTTCAGAATGGTGCACTAGTAATGGCTTCACTTCGAAATCCCCACTAGCATTAGCACAGAACATTAGCGTCAGCCTGTCTTTCATAGGCTTGTGACAGCACCCACCCAGGGAGGTACTACCTTCCTGCCAAGTGAGTGTAAAACGAAAGCCTGTAATTGTTTTACATGATGGTAGGATTGCTGGTGTCCATTTTTCTGTCTCGTAAACATGCAAGATTTCAGGTACATCTTGCTACTTCTTCTTACACTTAGGTCACACTACACATACATGTACAAGCATATACGTATATATGTACACACCCCTCTGGGCTTTCTTCTATTTTCTACTAGTTCTTGTTCTTGTTTATTTCCTGTTCTCTCCATGGGGAAGTGGAACAGAATTCTTCCTCCGTAAGCCATGTGTGTTGTAAGAGGTGACTAAAATGCTGGGAGCAAGGGGCTAGTAACCCCTTCTCCTGTATAAATTACTAAATTTAAAAAGAGAAACTTTCGTTTTTCTTTTTGGGCCACCCTGCCTTGGTGGGATACTGCCGGTTTGTTGAAAGAAAAAAGATATACATCTTTAATTCTTTTAACACACTGGCTGTATCCCACTGAAGCGGGGTGGCCCAAAAGGAAAAACGAAAGTTTCTCCTTTTACATTTAGTAATATATACAGGAGAAGGGGTTACTAGCCCCTTGCTCATGGCATTTTAGTCGCCTCTTACAACACGCATGGCTTACGGAGGAAGAATTCTGTTCCACTTTCCCATTGAGGTAAGAGGAAATAAACAAGGACAAGAACTAGAAAGAAAATAGAAGAAAACCCAGATGGGTGTGTATATATGCTTGTACATTTATGTGTAGTGTGACCTAAGTGTAAGTAGAAGTAGCAAGACATACCTGAAACCTTGCATGTTTATGAGACAGAAAAATGAACACCAGCAATCCTACCGTCATGTAAAACAATTACAGGCTTTCGTTTTACACTCACTTGGCAGGACGGTAGTACCGCCCAAGGAGGTACTACCATCCTCCCAAGTGAGTGTAAAACAAAAGCCTGTAATTGTTTTACATGATAGTAGGATTGCTGGTGTCCTTTTTTCTGTCCAGTGCATCTTATATCCCTAGTTTATTCCCTAGTTACCTCACCAATGTAATTTGACCTATTGTATAATGTGCAAATTTGACTTTGACAGACCTTAACTTGAACCTTGTCTTAAATGGCATCAAGGCACTCCAGTTAAAGGAGTCTAACATGCTAATTTTTGTTGTTGCTGTTATAGTTCACTCTACATTTGCTTAAAAAAAAAAAGGTTCTACCCAAAATATATCCTGTACATAAGATACTGATAAAGTACCTTATTTATTATGAGTGTGCCAGAGTAATAGCATCATTTGGAATTGGCTAATTTGGATGTTGTTGATATCCTAAAATTGAGTGTCATTATCAGCAAAAATTTTGGTATCGCCCCTTCAGTATACTTTTTATAATAACTTTCTTATCTGTCATAATGTAATGCCACTTTTTGTCATATTTATTGTAGTGTTTCTCCAGTGTTATACTTAATCCTATCTTTATTGTCCATTTTTATTTCTAAATACTTCTCCAGTAGAAAGTAGAAAAAGGGTAATGATGATACATAATGATGATGACAAAAAATGATTTCCAGACTACACAGTGGTGGAAGATTTTGGGTGAACTGGAATGCTTGGCACTCTTGGTGGCTTGTCTGTGTCATGACCTTGACCACCGAGGCACAAACAATTCCTTCCAGATCAAGTAAGTAACATTTAATTTTTATTATGTCTTTTTCTTTCAACACACCGGCCGTATCCCACTGAGGCGGGGTGGCCCAAGAGGAAGAATGAAAGTTTCTCCTTTTAGTAATATATACGGGAGAAGAGGTTACTAGCCCCTCACTCCCAGCATTTTAATCACCTCTTACAACACGCATGGCTTACGGAGGAAGAATTCTGTTCCACTTCCCCATGGAGATAAGAGGAAATAAACAAGAACAAGAACTAGAAAGAAAATAGCAGAAAACCCAGAGGGGTGTGCATATATATATGCTTGTACATGTGTGTGTAGTGTGACCTAAGTGTAAGTAGAAGTAGCAAACCATACCGTGGGTGGGGATAGAACCCGCAATCAGAGAGTCTCAAAACTCCAGACCGTCGCGTTAGCCACTGGACCAGCTAGCCACAATACGGCCAGTTTGCTGAAAAAAAAAAATATATATATATATACAGTGGACCCCCGCATAACGATCACCTCCGAATGCGACCAATTATGTAAGTGTATTTATGTAAGTGCGTTTGTATGTGTATGTTTGGGGGTCTGAAATGGACTAATCTACTTCACAATATTCCTTATGGGAACAAATTCGGTCAGTACTGGCACCTGAACATACTTCTGGAGTGAAAAAATATCGTTAACCGGGGGCCCACTGTATATACAGTGGTCCCTCAATAATCGTCGGGCTTGATAGTTGTCCTTTTCGGAAATTGTCGCGTTATATTCATCCAGACATTGGCTCACAAATGGTCAGTTCACTCGCTAATTGTCGTTCGTCCTGGATGCGTACTCATGGCTCTGAGCTGCTTCGGCCTCCCTTCCCAGCCAGTGTGCCACTGTTTACCAGTGAGCGACAGTCCTCTAACTTGTTCATACGAAATATTTCATAATATTCCATTCATTTTAGTGCTTGCAAGTGCTAAATAAGCTACCATGGCTCCAAAGAAAGCTCCTAGTGCCAAGCCTTTGGTACAGAAGGTGAGAAATATGACTGAATTTAAGAAAAACATCATTAAACAATATGAAAGCGGCGTACATGTGGCTGAACTGGCCAGGATGTTTAACAAACCCCATACAACCATATCTTCTATCGTGGCAAAGAAAAAGGAAATCAAGGAAGCTGTTGTTGCTTGGAGAAAATTGTGGCCAGACTGTGTTCACAAGAGGGATTTTGAAGGGTTTGTGACTGACCCTGATGAGCCTACGTCAGTTGTGAAATCTATTGTGGCATTGGGGAGTTCCATGGGGTTGGATGTGAGTTTGGAGGATGTGGAAGAGTTGGTGGAGGACCACAACGAAGAGCTAACCACTGAGGAGATGCAAGAGCTTCAGCAGGAACAGCAACAGATTGTAGCTCAGAATCTTGCTGCAGAGGAGGAGGAAGAGAGATGGAAGAAGGTGCCTTCTTCAGAAATTAAGGAGATTTTTGAAATGTGGGGTAGGATGGAAAGATTTATGGAGAAACATCACCCTTATAAGGATGTTGCAAGCCATATTGGCAACTTGTATAGTGACAGAGTCTTGGCCCATTTTAGGGAAGTTTTAACCCTTTCAGGGTCCACAGGCCCTCTCAGAGACTTGTTCTCAGGGTCCCCCAAGTTTCAAAAAAAAAAAAAATATATATTTTTTCTTATGAAAAGATAGTTTTTTTTTTCTAAACATTATAGGCTAAACAAAAATTTTTTACCATCAATACTTACCGAGATATGGAGGCATGAAGTTGACAGAAAATGCCCCATATATGGTATCATCACTGACTGCCGTCACCCGGTATTGTTTGTTTTTGTTTTTTAGGTGCTATTTTGTATTATTTTTTAATTTTTTTTTCCAAGTAACTTTTATGGCCTGTGAGACCAATATTAGCACTATTCTATAAGTTTTTTCTCTTTATTTGCTACACAATAACTCCACAAACACTGTTGTTCTTATATTGTTTATAATTATTGTTTTCACACACAAACAACATAAAATGTTGTTTATTACTATTTTTCTATATTTTGTATACACATATACAGTCACAGGGAATGTTTCTAGAAGTTCTGCAGCCTGTGGAAGTCTTTGAAACATGGTGTCATGCACAGTGGTGTTTTACACTCCTCACACATAAAACGAGTGTCTCTGCATTGTTGTGGGTGTTTTTTTTTTGTATGTGCACAGACGTAACACCTCTTCTGAGCCTTTTTCTTGAAAGCAGTAGCAGGCAGTTTTACCAGGAAGTGATCACCATGCTTCAGACGAGAAGGTAGTTGTTGATAATTTAGTGGGCGGTCTATTGCAGGTGTTCTTCCTTGGTAATTGAATACTATTTGTCTGATGACAGACAAACAGAATTCGCTTATTTCTTGGGTAGCATTGAAAATTGGGTTTGGCAAATGTTTTGTTAGTGGGATGGATTGTAAAGGACCTGCCTAGTATGGGCCAACAGGCCTGCTGCAGTGATCCTCCTTTCTTATGTTCTTATATGATGGTTTGTTTCTTGTCCTCATCTTATACATATTATAAGCATTGAGCATGGAAATGTCCAGAAGATGGAAAAAGAGTTTTATGTACCACTTATAACTCTTGCGAACACAATCACAAACCCAATCTGCATGTCACATTTGTCCACTGGGTGCATATTGAGGGTGTAATCAATCATTGCTCTCTCTATGCTGCATGCATAGAGAATTAGTGTGCACTACCTAGCAGAGTTTACTGCCAGAGGGGAATCATAGGCCTGTGTCCCGTGTGAAAAAAATAATAATAATTGAACTTTGTGTCAGAGGAAAGAAAGTCTCCCTGATAACATTGAGTATACATAGTGTATAGTGTATACTACAGTGGCTCCCTAGTATATTGATGATAAAGGCTAAAGTGTCATTTGAAAACAGGTGAATTTGTAAATGAAGTGATAAGCCTATAGAGGCAGGTGCCAGAAGTCGCCAGAAACTTACCACAGGTCAGCTGTTTTTAATAATCTTCCTGGCTTGCTAGTGTACTCGCATATAATCTAGTGATACCAGAGAATAGCAGAATACAGTGTTGTAGTAGCAACTAACCAGTATTATAATGGTACTTAGTGGAGTGGAGTGACTTTCATTAGTTTCTTTTTTCTTGAAATACCAGACATATACTGTGAATTTCATATAACCTGTAGTTACCAGCGGTCGCAATATACACAACGAGAAGCAATTATTACTACAGAAAAAGCGTCCTTCCTCCAAAGTTTGCACCAGTCAACTATAGTGATAATATAGCATTTATTGTGGTGGAGACGGAAAAAAAAAAAAAAAATATAGAAACCCGATACAGCGATTGATAAACAAGGAGGCGAGTTCGCTTGTAGGAGCTGCCAGATACCCCGGCTCTTCAACACACAAGTTTTTTTTTGTATCAGTCAAATCCATATTACTCGGGTAGATAATTTCCGTAGACCCCCTTATGGTTACTCAAATACCGCCAGTATGTTTTAAAAAAGTGACCCCACGATCAGAGCAGATCGATGGTCCGACCCTTGACTGGTCCAAACCCCGGGTGGTTTCAAACAGTTTCGTTGGAAAATAAAGAGACGTAAACGGAGGGGGTTGTAGGTCCCCTTATAAACAAAACTTTAAAAATTCAGGAACTTGACGGAAAGCTGTCCAATATACAAAAGGTTAGAAAACAAAATACAAATAGCTAGGCTTCATTTAAGGTTTTAATAAAATTTCAAGAGGTTGCTAGAAAAATTTGCAGTAAATAAAACCATTCAAATCATTTATGAACTGTGTGTGTTTTTGGGTCAGTCAAAAAAAGGGTTCCACATGGATAAATTGTCATTTTTGGGGAAAATTTGGTTCACGCCCTATGCAATACCCCAGAACTAGCTACAAAAGTTTTAAAAAAACAGAAAAAGGTTTTTAGGTATGCCCAAATGGGGAAAATCTGGACAAAATCAAAAGGGGTATTAAAAGAGGCAACTCAAAGCTGCTTTCATAAAAAACCCGGAAGCTTTCTACAACGTGGGAACAAAAAAAGTCGGGGCTAAAATGGTACTGCCCTTGATACTGGCCTGTAGTCACAAACTGTAAGGTGGAGGTGATGCCCGGGTGTCAGTAAATTGGGGTAATAGTGCTGTCCGGGGAGACAGAAAGGGGAAAGCTGGAGTGCTGCCCTGGGAGACAGAAATGGTGAAGCTGGGGAACTGTCCTGGGGGCAGTAATGGTGAAGTGGAGATTTTGTCCGGGTAGTGGGGGAATTACCAGAAGGAATACTTAAATGACCTATAGGGGACAGGAGCCATAGAAAGGGGAAAAAATGTAGTCAAAGATAGATAAAACCAATATTGCAAACTAGAAATCCCGCAGGAAATAGCAACAAGGGACCCCATAGCAATAGTGAGGAAAAATTTCAAAAAAAACTGGGGGGAGCTCCTTTGTTGTGTAGGGAGGATAAAAGTAAGACGGGAAACGCCCCAACAGGGAATACAGTCACAGAATCCAAGGCAAGCGGAAACCAAGCCTGTGCACTTTACTATGACTTGGGATCTGTGGGGATGGGAAAAACTGGAAAAAAAAAGATGGACATGCAACTATGACACCCCAGAAAATCCTGCCCCTTGACAACAGGAAAATGCAAAAATCCCCTTTCCCGTAAGCTTTTTCACCCTGAAATTGTACCTCTTCAGTACAGGAAAGCTGTGTATAAATTAAATTGCCCGGCATACCATCTAAAGGGGACAAAAAAAATCAAAACATCCCCGGCTGGGAAAACCTGGGTGCCCCAAGGGCCCCTCAGAGGGAGAGGTTTTTTAGTGCCAGGGAAAGGAAAAAAAATGGCAGGAAATTTGGGAGAAATCGTACACCAAATCATATTTCCGGAGTGGAAAACCCAGGCATGGCCTCCACTCCAAACCCAAAAGATACAGTACTAATGCCCGGGAAAAAAAATCCCCCCCCCGTACCAACAATACCACCATCCGATAAAATTCTCTTTGCAAAAATACAGGGTCTAAAACCGCAACAAAC